CTCTTCACACAGGCAGTGATTTGCCATTACTCTAAAGCTCACCTTTTCTTTCCCTCTGTTCGCTGCTGTCAGCATAATGATTGTGTTCCTTCCCTCCGAGACCCATCAGTTTTGTAAACAATAAAGCGTCTGAGGGCGTGTAGTTCTCTGTCTCTTCTGAGAGTGAGCAGCAAGGAGAACCAGGTGTTCTCGGCAAGGATCCACGGGAGAGCCGTTCCAGAAGAACCCAGGGCACATCGGCCAAGGCAGGGCCAGGATAAGGAACTGCATGTAAGCTCTTGACTGTCTCTTTAAGAAGCCATGACATGCGGGACTCGGGGGTAGTAACTGCCTACTCCACACTCATGTCCAGCATGCAACTCATCCGACTAGACGAAAAACCAAGATTAAGTTTCTTTCATTCCACATGTTCGTCCTGCCTTCCAGTATGCGTTTTTTTTTTTTTTTTTTTTTGGAGATAGTCTTGTTCTGTTTCCCAGGCTGGGGTGCAGTAACACAATCTCAGCTCACTGCAACCTTCGCCTCCCATGTTCAAGCAATTCTGCCTCTGCCTCCCAAGTAGCTGGGATTACAGGCATGCAACACTACACCCAGCTAATTTTTGTATTTTTAGTAGAGACAGGGTTTCACCATGTTGGCCAGGCTGGTCTCTAACTCCTGATCTCAAGTGATCTGCCCGCCTTGGCCTCCCAAAGTGCTGGGATTACAGGCATGAGCCACTGCCCCAGCCCCAGTACACTTTAAATTGATAAATCTCAAGGTAAGTTATCCCTTCACACTGTTAAGATAATTAAATAAAGCAAAAATAAAATATCTTCACACAAAACCGCAGGCCCAGATGGCTTCACTGGTGAATTGTACCCGCACAAAACCTTCCATGACTCCGGAAGTTGGGAACGCTTTTCCAAGCCATTATATGTGGACACCACTATACCGATATCAAAACCAGACAAATACCTTCCAGAAAAAATACAGACCAGTATCCCTCATGACATGATGCAAAAATCCTTAGCACAGATTATCAAGCCCAATTCATCAATAATTGAAAATTAGAATGTTTTTGGAAACATTCTGGAAAGGGGTCCCGACCCAGATCACCAAGAGTGGGTTCTTGGGTCTCACACAAGAAAGAATTCCAGGCGAGTCCGTGGAATAAAGTGACAGCAAGTTTACTAGGAAAAGTAAAAGAATAAAGAATGGCAACTCCAAGGCAGAGCAGCCCAGGGCTGCTGGCTGGTCCCTTTTTGTGTTTTATGGTTATTTCTTGTATGCTAAACAAGGGATGGATTGCTCATGCCTCCCCTCTTTAGACCACGTAGGGTAACTTGCTGACCTTGCCCTAGCCTTCGTCAAGGCACTTGCAGGAGGGTAGCAGTGAGGACAACCTGAGGTCACCCTCGTGGCTGTCTTGTTTTGGTGGGTTTTAGCCAGCTTCTTTACTGCAGCCTGTTTTATCAGCAAGGTACGACCTGTATCTTATGCTGACCTCCTGTCTCATCCTGTGTCCAAGAGTGCCTTCACCTCCTGGGAATGCAGCCCAGCAGGGGTCAGCCGTGCTTTACCCAGCTCCAATTCAAGATGAAGTCACTCTGGTTCAAACACCTCTAACAAGAATACCTCACAGTAAGTGTGGTTTATCCTAGGAATGCGGGGTTAGTTCAATATTCTGAAATCAATCAATGAAATAATATTTTATATTAAGACTAAAAAGGGTCCAGGTGCAATGACTCACGCCTGTAATCCCAGCATTTTGGGAGGCTGAGGTGGGTGGATCATTTGAGGTCAGGAGTTAGAGACCAGCCTGGCCAACATGGTGAAACCCCGTCTCTACTAAAAATACAAAAAATTAGCTGGGTGTAGTGGCACATGCCTGTAGTCCCAGCTACTTGGGAGGCTGAGGCAGGAAAATCACTTGAACCTAGGAGGCAGAGGTGCAGTTTACCGAGATCATGCCATTGCTCTCCAGCCTGGGTGACAGAATGAGACTCCATCTTAGAAAAAAAAAAAAAAAAAAAAACCTAAAACGGGAAAAAGCATGATAATCTCAAAAGATACAGAAAAAGCTTTTGACAATCTAACACCCATTCATCCAATTCAAAACAAAAGGCAAAAAAAAAACCCCTTAGGGAACGTCCTTAACCCGATGAATGGCACCTGTGAGAAATCCACAACTAAGAGACTGAATGCTTTCCCCCAAGCGACGAGGCAAGAATGTCTGTTTTCAGTACTTTTTTTCCCATCGTTTTTTCTTTTGAAATAAGAGTTTGAACCACATAGAAGTTGCAAAAATACAGTAGGTGCTGTGAAAGGAAAATGAAAACCCCAATTCACTTTGCCAAAAGGGGGAAAAAAGGAAGCTGAGAGCTGAGCCATGCCTTGGCTTTTGTTCCGAAGCAGATTGCAACAGAGGAAAGGTTAAGACCTCCGCAGGTGGCTTCTGTGCTCACCTTATCTTACGTGAAGTGCCAGTTTACTGAGCACCAGAGAATACATGACTGACTGTTCCCCTTCTGCTCCTCTTCTCTTGCCCACGGAGTCAGTAGTAGGACCAGACCCTCCCTTATTCCCCTCCAGCCTGCTTTTCCCCTTTAAACGTGGAAGCCCTGAAAGTCATCTTTGGAGAAAGGCACAGACCACAGGCTGGTTCAGTGACTCCCCGTTTTGTCATGTTTCATTTTGCCTCCCCTTAACCTTGCCCTTAACCTTAACCTTAACCTTGGCAAATTAATGGATTCAGAACTGTCTCAGACACTTGGTATCCATCCCCCTTATCTGTGGGAGATACATCGCAAGTGGATGCCTGAAAGCACAGATAGTATGGAAAGTCCTGCTCTACTCTCATACCTGTGACAACGCTTCATTTATAAACCAGGCACAGTAACAGATGAACAGTAAGAGAGTAAATGGAACAGTTATAACAACAGTCTGAAATAAGAGTCATGTGCATGTGTCCTCCCTCGAAATATTTTATTGTACCATACATGTCCTTGTGATGAAGGGAAGGAGCGGGATGGCACAATATGTCATCACAATAGGAACAGTGTGCAACTTAAAACTTAGGAATTTTTTCTGGAATATTCCATTTAGTATTTTCAGACCTCAGCTGACCACGGGTCACTGAAACTGCGGTAAGCGAAACCACAGGTAAGCGGGGCCAGCCGTGGTGTTTCTGTGCAGCATTCAGTGTGCTGATCACATAAGTACAGCACATTTACCCAACCCGGGAAGTGACATTGCTCCCATCACTTTTATTCCTCATCCTATTGGTGCAATTAGGCAAAAGGAAAAAAAAGGAAGTTGTTCAGATTTGAAAAGGAGTCAAACTGTCTTTATTTGCCAGTGACAAGACTGACTAGCTAGGCAAGCCTAAGAAATCTTCAAAAACTACGAGGCTGGGCACGGTGGCTCGCACCTGTAATCCCAGCACTTTGGCAGACTAAGGCAAGAGAATCACTTGAGCCCAGGAGTTTAAGACCAGCCTGGGCAACATAGCAACACCCAGTCTCTACAAAAAGATGTAAAGATTAGCTGGAGGTGGTCAAGCAAGCCTGTGGTCCCCAATACATGGAAGGCTGAGGTGGGAGGATCACTTGAGCCCAGGAAGTTGGGGCTGCAGTTAGCAGTGTTTGTACCACTGCACTCCAGCCTGGGTGACAGAGCAAGACTTGGTCTCAAAAAAAAAAAAAAAAAAAACCAAAACTACATATACTAAATTTAATATATTAATGTCACATTTAATATATAAATTCCACATACAAAATTTAAGTTTATTATAACTGCAGTGAACAACTAGAAATTGAAAAATTCTAAACATTGTCAATTACAATAGCACCAAAAATCAGGAAATAGCTGGATATAAATCCGACAAAAGCTGTGCAGCATGTACATGCGGAACCTACAGAATGCAGATGAAAGAAATCAAAGATCCAAAAGAATACAACAGTATACTTCTTCATGGGTCTAAAGACCTGACTTTGAAAAAGAAAAGCAACGTTGAAGGACTCTGCAAAATGGTTCGGCAACTCTGGAAAACAGTCTTAGTTTCTTCCAAATGTAGACATGTATCTACCACATGACCCAGTAATCCTGCTCCTAGGTATTTACACAAACGAAATACTTAAGTTCACACAGAGACTTGTATCCAAATATTTTCAGCAGCTTCATGCATAATAGTGGAAGATGGAACAACCCAAATGTCCATCAGTGCAAACAGGCACCAACAGTTACCCAGCAAAACCGGGAGCCAGCTACCGATCTTAGAGACAGCAGGGATGGATCTCAAAAGCACTGTGGTAAGTGAAAGAAGGCACATGCAAAACATCAAGTTCAATGTGATTCCATTTAAGGGAATTCTAGGGGCCAGGAGTCGTGCCTCATGCCTGTAATCCCAGCAGTTTGGGAGGCTGAGGCAGTCAGATCACCTGAGGTCAGGAATTTGAGACTAGACTGGCCAATGTGGAGAAACCCCCTTCTCTACTAAAAAACACACAAATTAGCTGGGCGTGGTCGTGGGCGCACTTGTAATCCCAGCTACTCGAAGGCCGAGGCATGAAAACCTCTTGAACCTGGGAAATGGAGGTTGCAGGGAGCAAGACTGTGCTACTGCACTCCAGCCTGGGCGACGGAAGGAGACTGTCTTAAAAAAAAAAAAAAAAAAAATGGAATTCAAGGAAAGGCAACCAGCAGTGGCAGAAGCTGACAGGTGGCTGCTGGGAAGGGGCTGGGGGGAGAAGGCTGGCTGCAGAGGGGCATAAGATAATTCGTAGGGGTGATTAAAACACCCTAGGTAATAATGCTGTCATAGGATGATCTCTACACACTTACCAAAACTTTGCAGGTAAATTATATGGCAACAAAGCCACTTTTTAAAAAGAAGAAAAAGAAAAGGATGAGTTTGAATTCCCAGTTCTTCTTCAAGGTGCACAATTTGAGCTAATTACGATGCCTCGTTGAGCGTCTGTTTTCTCATCTCTAACAGGGAATATAAGAGCAGCTGCGTCCCATTGTGGCTAGAAGTATTAAATGCCTGCCTTTCACAGCAAGGTTTACAGTCATGCCAGGTGAGATCCATATTAGCTGTTAGGGAGCGTTCCTCTCTTTGCAAAACATCAAGGGGTTTGGGGTAGAGGCACAAAAGATGATCTTACAGGCCAGTTCACCATTCTCCTCTCTGAAACGCCCGCGCTTTCCCTACCGTCTTTGGAGCGGCTTCCTGATGAGAGCAGTGCCCTTGAGTCTGAGGCTCTCACCTCAGGACTGAGCCACTGCCCCTTTCCCTGCCTGTCCCCTAGCACTTCCCGCCACCCCGTGGTCATCACACATCAGAAAGCCCTTGTGAGCCCCAGGGAAGCAGGTACTGGGCTCTGATTCCACAAGGAGGCTTCTGGGTCTTCCATTTTACCTGCCTGGATGGCTCAGGACTTTCCCATGATCTGGGGCTAAAGATTCGGCACCTGAGTTTTAAAACCTTTCTCCGGCCGGGCGCAGTGGCTCACGCCTGTAATCCCAGCACTTTAGAAGGCTGAGGCGGGCAGATCACAAGGTCAAGAGATCAAGATCATCCTGGGTAACATGGTGAAACCCTGTCTCTACTAAAAGTAAATACAAAAATTAGTTGGGCGTGGTCGCACATACCTGTAGTTCCAGCTACTCGGGAGGCTGAGGCAGGAGAATTGCTTGAACCTGGGAGGCAGAGGGTACAGTGAGCTGAGATCGTGCCACTGCACTCCAGCCTGGCGCCTGGTGACAGCGAGACTCTGTCTGAAAAAACAAACAAACCTTTCCCCAGCACTTCCCAGAGATGCTTTCCTGCCCTTCCCTGGCCACTACCTGGGCAGAAGTCATTAGCACTGCCGAGAAGGGAGGATGTTGGGTTTCTGTGTCAGCTGGCACTGAGGCCCTTAATCTGGATGGGGTTTTCAAACTCCCCACAGCCTTCTCTGCCAGTTCTGTTTCCAGCTGCATCTGCCCCTGGATCTCCACAGTTCCTCTGGAGGGATCAGGCGAACCGCGCAGCTGCCTAAAACCTCACATTTTGAGGGAAACAGTCATTCAGTGTCTGTCCTCTGGGCCCGTGTCTCAGACTCTAAGCTGCCAGGGAACCAGGGATTTCCACGCGTTGGGACTGCCTGGGGGCTTTTAAAATGCCCCTGCCTGTCCCCCACTCCCAGAGATGGTGACTTCCTGGGCCTGGGCATTAGGAGTTTGTAAGACTCCCTGATGATTCTTCTGTCCAAGCCAGGCTGAGAACCACTGGTCAGAGAGACCTGGGCACATCCCAAGGCTCAACCCAGAACCATGGGTTGCAAGTGAAGAAATGAGAGGCTGCTGATTGCCTCACTGAGCGGTGAAGCCTGGGCTTGACCACAGATTAGGCCAGCTGGACCCAGGGGTGCAGGTGGGAGCATCTCTGCTTCTCTCTGCTCTGCCCCATGGGCCCCAGCAGCCTGGGCCCACATCCTCTCACTCGGAAGCCAGCTCTCACTGGGCTGGCTGGGCTCACAGCTCCACCCTGGAACCATCCATGTGGCCTGGAGGGCCCCTCAGGGCTCAGACAGCCAGACCTGGGGTGGTTGAAGGCCAAGAGCCGGGTGCCCTCTGGGAACCACACAGCCAGGAGTGGGAAGGGGTGCTCAGAGTAGGGAAAAGGAATGGGTATGAGTGGACAGAACCATTATGTCACCCCAGAGAGGCTCTGTCCCCCGCCCCGCTGAGGGGGAGACAGGAGAGCAGCCACAGGTCCAGCAGTGTGAACACAGGGTCTAGGGTCAGGTGCTGGAGCGGGGTCCAGCTCCTCCACTGGCCAGCTGCACACCTGGCTCTCAGGGCCTCCCTCCCCTGGGACAGGGGACAGTACCGCGCAGCGTTGCAGGGAACAGGCCCTCTGTGTGGTGAGCATGCCAAGAGCTCGGAGAGGGTGGATTTGCACATGAGCAACCACCTGTGCAGTGTCCACCCAGCCAGCAATGTGCTGGACCCAGGAAAGGACTCAGAGCGCTCTGTCACCCACAGGAACAAACTGTCTGGGCCCACAGCCTCTGCTTCTTCCCCTCCTGTCCCCCAAACGCCAGCCCCTGGCCGGCCTGGAGGCGTTTCCAACTGACTGTGGCTGTCAGTCTTCTTTCGGGCCTTGCTCCAGCCAGACTCCCGCCTTGGGCCTCTGCCATCCCGGCACTGACACCCACATGCAGAGCTGAGACAAAAGAGAGGGGCCCCCGGGAGTGTCGTCAGCAGCCAATCCCAGAAGGCATCTATGTCAGATGGTTTCTGGAAATCGAAACTTGACTGTTTCCTGAAGCATTTCCTGGGATCAGCCTGACCACGCTCCATACTGGGAGAGGCTTCTGGGTCGAAGGACCAGTCTGCAGAGGGCTCCTGGAGCTGGAAGCAAGGAGGCTCCAGCACAGCCATCACAGCCGCTCCAGCCAGGTAAGCTCCTGCCTCCAGCTCTCAGGTGGGCACCCCCGCCTCTCTCTCTTTTTTTTTTTTTTGAGACAGGGTCTCACTTTTTTACCCAGGTTGGAATGCAGTGGGGCGATCTCAGCTCACTGCAGCCTCTGTCTCCCAGGTTCAAGAGATTCTCCTGCCTCAGCCTCCCGAGTAGCTGGAATTATAGATGCCTGCCACCATGCCTGGCTAAATTTTGTATTTTTAGTAGACACAGGGTTTCACTATGTTGGCCAGGCTGGTCTTGAACCCCTGACCTTATGATCTGCCCGCCTCGACCTCCCAAAGTGCTGGGATTACAAGTGTGAGCCACCGTGCCCAGCCAGGGCACCCCTCTCTCTACACAGGCAAATGGGGGTCACTCCTCCCTGTTTGCACATAGGCCTGGAGCTATCCTTGCTGCTCCCAGGCCCATCTCTGTACAGTTGGGCAGATTGCTTACTACACAAGGATACCAGCCAAAGGGGCAAGTGGGCTGGAAATCAGCTTGGCCCTCTCAGGTCTGTGCATTGAGCCTAGGCCTGCACCCACCCCAACGAAGGGTACCTTTTTTTCAATTCACATGAAGGCACCCTAGGGGTCAACACAGATAGCCGGTCTCAACTTTCCATATGAAAGAATCAGGGAAATATACCCAGCCACTGCCACCCAAAGGGCAGCAATGGTGCCTGCCTGGTGCTTCATTGTCCACTTTTTTTTTTTTTGAGACAGAGTCTTGCTCTGTCACCCAAGCTGGAGTACAGTGGTATGATCTCAGGTCACTGCAACCTCTGCCTTCTAGGTTTAAGCGATTCTCTTGCCTCAGCCTCCTGAGTAGCTGGGACTACAGGTTCACACCACCGTGCCCAGCTATTTTTTTTTTTTTTTTTTTTTGGTATTTTTATTAGAGATGGGGTTTTACCATGTTGGCCAGGCTGGTCTCGAACTCCTGACCTGAAATGATCCACCCACCTCAGCCTCCCAGAGTGCTGGGATTACAGCATGAGCCATCGCACCTGGCCAGTTGGCCATTTTTCCAAGGCCCTCGCCCATGGCCTCCTCCCGCTCCACCCTCCCCCATGCCTGTGCGGCAGCCTTGCCCGGCACCTGGTTTTCTGAGATGGGCTCACTCACTTCCAGTCACCAATTCTTGCTGTCCTTACTGCCAGGGGCCACCCCCAGCCCACCCCTTCATCTAGCCAAGTCTAACACATCTTTCCAGGACCATGCTGCAGACCAGGTGAGGAGCCCCTGTGGGGGCAACCACAGCGTCCATCACACTTACCAAGACCACAGTGGGCTCTGCAGGAGAGGTACCCTGCCTGCCACACAGCCCAGGTCGGGCTGAAGGGTGGATGGGCAGGCCAGTCCCCCGGCATCGGGCCACCGGGCTCCGGTGCCTCACTCCACCGCTTCCATCCACAGCAGGATCCATGCGTCCAGGCAAGGCCATGGTCCCTCTGAGGCTCTTCTGGATGTGGCTGCTGGTTGCAGGGACCCAAGGTGAGCTGAGTCCCTGGGAAATGCCAAAAGCAAAAGTCTGTGAGGCTGCTGCACCCTGGGTCTGTGCACAATGCCCAAAAGAGGTTGTGCCTGGGGTCTGAGGCCCGGTGGTTAGCCGAATCTTCTCTCTTCCGGTATCCTGAGTGATCATGGCTTGGAGGTTCCAGGGGCTCACCTGGGCTCAGGTGAGCTGCAGGTTATAGAGAGGACACCAGGGAATTCTCCATTCCATCCAGAGGGAACCAGAGGAGCTGATCAAAGCAGCAGTCACGGGGTGTTGTGGGGTCCATGGCCTTGGATGCAGGTCAAGCTTCCAGAGGGTCCTGGCTGCCTTTCCTCATATTCTTTACCCTGTGAGCCCCTGGAGACTCATGCTCATCCTGGGGGCCCCACAGAAGCCAGACGTGCCCCCAACTGAATTCAGCTCCTACCAGGCTCTGCCAGCTCCTGTAGGGGCGAATGTCAGTGGGCAGAGTCCCAGAAGGTCATGTGTGGGGTAGGAATCCCATTCTCTGCCCTGGAAGTATTCTGCCTGTGCTCCCAGGGGTCCCTAGGCCTGCTGTCCCCACTAGGCCAGCACCCGCAAACTGCAGACACCCTCAGGAGGGGTTAGCATGGAGCCGCCTTTCCCTCGGGGTCCTGCCACCTCCACTCCCAGTGCTGGAGAACCCAGGGCTTCTCTGCCCCGTTCTGTCTATGGAGTGAAGGGCTGAGACCCCTAAAACAAGGAACGGCATGTTTAGCCTCCATGTAGGGGGTCTGTATGTATCTTCCACTCCCCCTCACAGAGGTGCCCCTCACGGAGAGGCAGGGGGACCTTGAAGCACTGGAAAACAAGCTCAGCAGGGGAGTCCCAGGACAGCGTGGGGGCCCTAGAGGTTGGCGCGTGGGGGGGGCGCTGCAGGCTCCAGCCTCACCCTTGTTGGTCTCTCCCTGCAGCCGTGAACGATGGTGACATGCGGCTGGCTGATGGGGCCACTGCCAATGAGGGTCGTGTGGAGATCTTCTACAGAGGCCAGTGGGGCACTGTGTGTGACAGCCTGTGGGATCTGACTGATGCCAGCGTCGTCTGCCGGGCCCTGGGCTTTGAGAACGCCACGCAGGCTCTGGGCAGAGCTGCCTTTGGGCAAGGTAGGACCTGCTGTCCCTGTCCTCTGGGGCTGAGACCCACAGCATAGCCAGCTCCTGGGAGGGGTGAATCCCCTAAGACAAGACAACCAGGCTTCAAAGACATGCAAACTGTATTCCTATTAATTTAGCAAGAGCAAAAAGTTTTTTTTTTTGAGATGGAGTCTCACTCTGTCGGCCAGGCTGGAGTACAGCAATGTGATTTCAGCTCACTGCAACCTCGGCCTCCTGAGTTCAAGTGATTCTCCTGCCTCAGCCTTCTGAGTAGCTGGGATCACAGGTACCTGCCACCACACCTGGCTGATTTTTGTATTTTTTAGTAAAGACGGTGCTTTGCCATGCTGGCCAGGCTGGTCTTGAACTCCTAGCCTTAAGTGATCTGCAACCTCGGCCTCTGAAAGTGCTGGGATTACCACACCCAGCCTGAAAGCAAACACTTTGGATGGCGCAGAAGCCCTGTGGGTCCTGCTCCAATGGAACTGTGTCACCCATGCCTGGCTTGTGATGGTGGCTGGAGCTTGGGCAGGTTCAAGACCTTAGCTGGGCTCATTTGCTCTGGCCCTGAAACTCCACTCCAGGGAGTTTATATTCTTGAAACAATTTCCCCTCAAAAGAGAAGTCTGTAGGCAGAAGATTTTCACTGATGCAGCAGTTGCGATTCTGGGAAAAAGAGAAATAATCCACCCACTATTTAGCAGCAAGGATAGTCACACAATTGCAGTATATGAACCTGATGTCGCAGGGATAGGCACACAATTAGAACACATGAATCTGATGTCTGCAGCAGCCAGTAAGCTTTATAAGCATGAAGGCTAAGTTCATGGCCTGACGTTGCAATCACAAATCCAACCCACGCTGGAATATCCACCATGGTTTACCGGTGAAGGACCTGCCCGGCCGGCGCGGGGAACAAAGGGCTGAGTTTCGCTGTGGGGCTGCTGGGTGCAGTCCTCAGGCCCCCAGCCCTGCCATCTGCTGCGTCCACAGGATCGGGCCCCATCATGCTGGATGAGGTCCAGTGCACGGGAACTGAGCCCTCGCTGGCTGACTGCACATCTCTGGGCTGGCTGCACAGCAACTGCAGGCACGAGAGGGACGCTGGTGTGGTGTGCACCAACGGTGAGTGGGGGGTTCCAGCATGCCTTGGGGGCCTGTGGCCCCTGCCCCTCCCAGCACCTCCCCAACACACGTGAAGCACACAAAGGTTCCTTCCACCACTACCTGCCCACTCCGAATGGAGAGGCCCTGAATCCAGAGAGCCCACCAGCTCCCAGTCCCCCAGGCCCAGACTCCTCCCCAGCCCCTTCTGGAGAAACACCCCAAGGAACCTGAGTGGGAGGCAGTGAGACACAGCCCCAGTGAGCACGACACCTGGCTCCACCTGACCTGAAATGCCAGTGCCCGCTTGGAAACACTCCCCAGCGTGACAGGCTCAAGCGCATCCTGGCAGAGGAGGCCCAGTTACTGACAGCCGCAGCCTGCTTCTCCCAACCCACCCTGATTTGCAGGGAACCCAGGCAGCTCTGCAGGCTAAAGCCCCTGGATCTGAGTTTTTTGTTGTTGTTTTTGAGATGAAGTCTCACTCTGTCACCCAGGTTGGAGTGCAGTGGCACAATCTCAGCTCTCTGCCCTCTGCCTCCTGGGTTCAAACAATTCTGCCTCAGCCTCCTGAGTAGCTGGGATTACAGGCACTTGCCACCAAGCCTGGCTAATTTTTGTATTTTAGTAGAGACGGTTTCACCATGTTGGTCAGGCTGGACTTGAACTCCTGACCTGGTGATCCACCCAACTTGGCCTCCACAGTGCTGGGATTACAGGCATGAGCCACTGCACCCGGCTGGATTTGAGTTTCATGGTTTTCTTTCCTCTCCTGCTGCCGAGGTGGCTCTTCCTGGGCTTGCCACCCACTACCCTTTGTCAGGAGCCCCTAAGACAGGAGGGATCGAATCCCAGGGAGCCCCTGTGCTCACAGGGGACAAACAAGTAGCTGGAGCTGAGCCTGGCCTCACAGTGGGGGAAGCCCAGGAGACACCATGGGGCTGTCGGGGGTTCGGTGGGGGGAGGCGGGTGGGAGGAGCACGTGGGGCCGTGGGTGCAGGGCAAAGGCTCCTGTGGCAGGGGAGCTGTGGTGAAGAGCAGGTGGGAGGGAGCTGGGGCCTCAGGTGTGAGGAGGCCCAGGGCGAGCCCACCTGGTTGAAACCTCACAATTACTTCAAATCTATTAAAGCCTTTGTGGCAAAGAAAGAACTTATGGGATTTAGTTTTGAGTTAGGCTTTGAGAGGGCTCAAAGAAGGGGGAAGGGTGCAGCACACTGACTCCCGACCCGCGAGCCTCCCATGACTTCTCCAGGCCTTGTGCCTCACAGGAGGCTGCTTGGGGACCCCCAGAGTTCTAAAATGGGGTTGCCACAGGACCCTGACTTTTCAGGCCATCTAAGCAGGTAGTGGTTTTGGTTTGAGGTAGGCAGCGTCTGTGGTGATTGACTGAATGAGGCTGGGGAGTGGGGCTCCGAGTCAGCACCACCAAGTCCCCAGGCGGGACTGCTGCCTGAATCCGAGGGAGCAGAACGCAGCAGAGGACCTTTAGCGGGGATCTGGACAGGATTGGCCAGGTCTCAGCTGCTCTGGTTCCGCGAGGCTGGAAGAGGTGGGGCCTCGGGGTTGAAAGGGGTAGAGCTCGGGATGGGAAAGGGTGGGGCCTCAGGGCTGGAAGGGGTGAGCCTCGGGGCTGGGAAGGGGTAGGGCCTCAGGGCTGAAAGGGGTGGGCCTCGGGGCTGGAAGGGGTAGGGCCTCAGGGCTGGAAGGGGTGGGCCTCGGGGCTGAAATGGGTAGAGCTCGGGGCTGGAAGGGGTGGGCCTCGAGGCTGAACGGGGTGGGGCCTCAGGGCTGGAAGGGGTGGGGCCTCAGGGCTGGAAGGGGTGGGCCTCGGGGGCTGGAAGGGGTGGGCCTCGGGGGCTGGAAGGGGTAGAGCTCGGGGCTGGAAGGGGTGGGGCCTCGGGGCTGGAAGGGGTGTGCCTCGGGGCTGAAAGGGGTGGGGCTCGGGGCTGGAAGGGGTGGGGCCTCAGGGCTGGAAGGGGTGGGCCTCGGGGCTGGAAGGGGTGGGGCCTCGGGGCTGGAAGGGGTGGGCCTCGGGGCTGAAAGGGATGGGGCTCGGGGCTGGAAGGGGTGGGGCCTCAGGGCTGGAAGGGGTGGGGCCTCAGGGCTGGAAGGGGTGGGCCTCGAGGCTGGAAGGGGTGGGCCTTGGGGGGCTGAAAGGGGTAGAGCTCGGGGCTGGAAGTGGTGAGACCCTGGGCTGGAAGGGGTGGGGCTCGGGGCTGGAAGGGGTGGGCCTCGGGGGCTGCAATGGGTGGGCCTCGGGGGGGGGCTGAAAGGGGTAGAGCTCGGGGCTGGAAGGGGTGGGACCTCGAGGCTGAAAGGGGTGGGGCTCGGGGCTGGAATGGGTGGGACCTCAGGGCTGGAAGGGGTGGGGTTTCAGGACCCAGGGATCCGAAACTGCAGGTCTCTCCTGTTCCTCATCTTCCCAGGAGCCTTCCAGAGTGGATGAGGCAGACACAAATCCCCACTTTTAGATGAAGACGCTGACCCCAGAGAGTGGCAGCGCCCCGGGTCCTAACACAGCTTGCTTCCCTCCCTCCCGTTCTTAGAAACCAGGAGCACCCACACCCTGGACCTCTCTGGAGAGCTCTCAGAGGCCCTTGGTCAGATCTTTGACAGCCAGCAGGGCTGCGATCTGTCCATCAACGTGAGCGTGCAGGGTGAGGACGCCCTGGGCTTCTGTGGCCACACAGTCATCCTGACTGCCAACCTGGAGGCCCAGGCCCTGTGGGAGGAGCCGGGCAGCAATGTCACCATGCATGTGGATGCTGAGTGCGTGCCCATGGTCAGAGACTTTCTCAGGTGAGCTGTCTTGTCCTCAGGCTCTGGGGCCGCCAGGGGCTTTGTCCTCCTCCCCTCTTCAAAAGCACACCCACACGCACATGCACACCTGCACACACTCATGTGTGCACATGTATACACGCAGTCACACATGCACTCACACAGTTGCACTCACGCATACTTGCTCCCACGCTGTACACACTCTGGTGTGCCGCAGATGGCTGTGCTGGAGAGGCGGGCTCAGGGCTCCCCTGCTGTCCTGTGAGGCCGGCATCAGCTCTCCCTCACCCTTCCCAGGTACTTCTACTCACGAAGGATCGACATCACCCTGTCATCGGTTAAGTGCTTCCACAAGCTGGCCTCTGCCTATGGGGCCAAGCAGCTGCAGGGCTACAGCGGAAGCCTCTTTGCCATCCTCCTCCCCCGGGACCCCTCATTCCAGATGCCCCTGGACCTGTATGCCTACGCAGTGGCCACTGGGGACCCCCTGCTGGAGAAGCTCTGCCTTCAGTTCCTGGCCTGGAACTTCGAGGCCCTGACACAGGCTGAGGCCTGGCCCAGTGTCCCCACAGACCTGCTCCAATTGCTGCTGCTCAGGAGCGACCTGGCTGTGCCCAGCGAGCTGGCCCTGCTGAAGGCCGTGGACACTTGGAGCTGGGAGGAGCATGCCTCCCACGAGGAGCTGGAGGGCTTGGTGGAGAAGGTCCGCTTCCCCATGATGCTCCCTCAGGAGCTCTTTGAGCTGCAGTTCAACCTGTCCCTGTACTGGAGCCACGAGGCCCTGTTCCAGAAGAAGAGTCTGCAGGCCCTGGAGTTCCACACCGTGCCCTTCCAGTTGCTGGCCCGGTACAAAGGCCTGAACCTCACTGAGGATGCCTACAAGCCCCGGATTTACACCTCGCCCACCTGGAGTGCCTCTGTGACGGACAGTCGCTGGAGTGCACGGAAGTCACAGCTGGTCTATCGGCCCACAGTGGGTTCTTCACTCAAATACTCTGCTAATGCCATCCAAGCCCCCTTCGACTACAGATACTACTACCCCTACCAGTCCTTCCAGACCCCACAACACCCCAGCTTCCTCTTCCAGGACAAGTGGGTGTCCTGGTCCCTGGTCTACCTCCCCACCATCCAGAGCTGCTGGAACTATGGCTTCTCATGCTCCTCGGACGAGCTGCCTGTCCTGGGCCTCACCAAGTCGGGCCCCTCAGATAGTACCATCGCTTACGAAAACAAAGCCCTCATGCTCTGCGAAGGGCTCTTCGTGGCAGACGTCACTGATTTCGAGGGTCGGAAGGCCGAGATTCCCAGCGCCCTGGACACCAACAGCTCCAAGGGCACCTCTTTCTTCCCCTGCCCAGCAGGGCACTTCAGCAGCTTCCGCACAGTCATCCGCCCCTTCTACCTGACCAACTCCTCGGGCGTGGACTAGATGGCGTGGGTCAGGGGCCGGCAGGAGCAAGGGTGGTAAGAACCCAAGAAGCCCAGGATGCCCTCGCTGCAGGCTTCTCTCTTGGCTCCCTTCCTCTCGGCAACAACCTTCAACAACCGGCCACCAGATGTCCCCCTACTCCCCCGAGAGCTCAGCTTGTAGAAATTACTGGGAAGCTTCCACAAGTGTGCACCAGGAGTTCTCCCACCAGCCCACCAGTTTCCAGGTTGGGAAGCACCAAGACGCCCTCGAGGTCGAGGTTGCTCTGGGATTCCCACCCCACCCCCCCACTCAGTTTGCCTTTGTCACTGCTCTGAGATCATTACAGTTACACTGTGGTTGCTACATCTGTTTGTACAGAAAGTGTTACTGGGTCTATACCGTGTTGGGACATCGGGTGTTCCAGGCTCTGGGGGGCAGGGAATGAGGGAGAGTCCCTGTCCTCATGAAGCTGCGGGCTAGTGGGGGAGACAGGGAGCAGGAAGCACATCCCAGCCTGGAGCAGTGACACAGTGTGACACAAGCAGAGGGTGCGTGCCTCTGAGTGTGTGCACGTGGGTGTGTGATTGTGGGTGCATAGATGTGTGGGTTGTTTTTTTTTTTGAGATGGAGTCTCTGTCACCCAGGCTGGAGCACACTGGTGCACCCTCAGCTCACTGCAACCTCCACCTCCTGGGTTCAGGTGATTCTCCAGCCTCAGCCTCCTGAGTAGCTGGGATTACAGGTGCCCGCCATCATGCCTAGCTAATTTTTGTGTTTTTATAGAGACAGGGTTTCACCTTATTGGCCAGACTGGTCTCAAACTCCTGACCTCAGGTGATCTGCCCACCTCAGCCTCCCAAAGTGCTGGAATTACAGGCATGAGCCACTGCGCTGGGCCTATGAGTGTGTGTGCTTTTGAGAGCATGACCCCCTGCTCATGTCTGACAGGAAGGAAAGGGTGCTGAGGTGGCAAGGTCAGGGCTGCACCTCCGGGAGTGGTCGGGTCTCTGGAAGACATGACCAGGCTGGGTGGTGGAGACCAGGAGACAGCGGACTGTGGAAGCTGAGGGAAGAAGAAAGAACAGCAGGAGTTAGGAAGCTTCACTCTGGATATCCGTGTGCACAGGGACAGGGGACAGAGACTCATCTCAGCCTTGGAAGAGTGAAAAATTGGAAACAATGTCAGTACTCACCAACAGGATGCTTGACCACAAATAAAAGACACCCAGGCCGGGGCTGAGTGAGGCAGGGGAGAGGTGTGCTAGAAAGATACTGGGAAGCACAGAGTCTCAGGGGAGGCTGGGGGCACACTGGATGCCCGGGGGGGGGGACATCCGTGATAATGCCATAGCAGGCTCTGGGCACTGAGTGCTGCCTGCTGCCAGCCAGGCTTCTCCCTGGCCCACTGCAGGCACAGAGTCCCCAACGAGGCACTGGCTGGGCCGAGCTCAGGCTGGCGCTTGCCGCTGTACCAGAGTCTGGGAAGACAAGAGTGTGGACTGTGTTGGCCTCTGGAACAGGAGGTGGCACAGGGGCTCCCCTAATGGCAAGGAGGTTCAGGTGCTAGACAGCCAGACAGTGGCAGACGCCCTACCTACCCTTTCCCCACAGCTACTGCTGGGAACAAAAGCAGGCTCACAAAACCTCCTGCCCACCAAGGCAGCTGCTCCCCTGACCCCCCACCTCCAGATTGTGCACCCAGCCAAGGTTCACCATCCTGGCAAGACATCCCCTCCTCCACATGTTTTTTGTTTGTTTTGAGACAGGGTCTTATTCTGTTGCCCAGGCTGGAGTACAGTGTGCCATCTCAGCTCATGGCAAACTCTGCCTCCTGGACCCAAGCTATTCTCCTGCCTCAGCCCCTGGGACTACAAAGTACCTGGGACTACAGATGTGCGCCAGAATGCCTGGATAATTTTTATTGCTGTTGTTGAGACTGAGTCTCGCTCTGTCACCCAGGCTGGAGTTCAGTGGCGCGATCTTCGTTCACTGCAACCTCCGCCTCCCAAGTTCAAGCGATTCTCCTGCTTCAGCCTCCTGAGTAGCTGGAATTACAGGCACTCAACACTACGCTCAGCTAATTTTTTGTATTTTTAGTAGAAACGGGGTTTCACCATGTTGGCCAGGCTGGTCTGGAACTCCTGACCTCGCGATTCACCTGCCTTGGCCTCCCAAAGTCCTAGGATTACAGACGTGAGCCATCATGCCCAGATTTTTTTATTTTTTTATTTTTAGTAGAGTCGGGATTCTGCCATGTTGTTGCCCAGGCTGTTCTCGAACTCCTGGGCTCAAGCCATTTGCTCACCTTGGCCTTCCAGAATTCTGGAATTACAGGCGCCACTCTGACCCGCCTACCTCCCCGACTTCTTTTTTGATCCTGTTTACATTTTAGCAGCTGATGGGCTACATTGCACCATGGACCACCTCCAACGCCTCTATTGGGGACAAACCACAGTGAGATCAGGAAGAAGAAGGAAACATGACGTCAGGGTGGAGGCGTGGCAGACACAGCAGAGACCAGAATCACAGCCTCCAGTTCTCCACTCAGTCCAGGCCAACAGCAGCTCTCCTCTCTCCTGCTCTGCACTCCCTGGCATCTCAGGGCCAGGAAAGGTAACTGGAGTTTTTCTTCCAGAGAACTCTGAGCCCCGGGGTCCTGCCTGCAAGGAAGCTGTAGTCCTGCGCGGAGCTGGTAGATGCGGGGGTGTGAGAAATCACTTGAGTCCTTCGGTGCTGCTTGCAGTTTTGGGCGGTAGCCCTGTTCCCCCGGGAGAGTCAGAACCAACCATCCCAGCCTCCCAAACACTCTTCCCTTCTTCACCTGCTCACCCACGGGCACAGTGGTCCCAGAGGTGAATCCCCATCTTCACTGCCAATTCGAGGGGATGTGGAGATATCTTGTAGTGGAAACATTCTTCTCTTGGGTGTGGAACCCCTGTGCCAGCAGAGCCCAGGTAGAACCTTTGCTCCAGGTGATGGGTGCTGCTCAGGGCACCTGACCCACACCTGCGCATTCTGAACAGGAAGAACTACAGATGGGCTATGCGAGCTGGTGCGTCCGCAGGGGGAGGACAGCGTCTTCTTGTCTCCAGTGAGTGGTGAGAGGATGCACGGGGCAATCTGGAGGCCGGGACTTCCGGGCCTGGCTCATCTGATGCCCAGCACGTCCGCAGAGCCAGGCTCTTGCATTTTGCCCTTCACCAGCCTCCTGAGCCTGAGGCTTCGTTCCAGCCTTCCTGTTTCATGAGCCCTTGAATGCATGATGGGTGACACAGGTGACCACAAGGCTGCAGCCTGGCTGCAGCTGCTGAGTCACCTGCATTTGTGTGGGTGGCCGGGAGGGTGAGAAAGGTGTTTGGTCAGCGAAGGGCTGGTGGCACTGAGTGCCGTATGGATTGGAGGCATTTAGATCTAGAGTAAGTGTTGATTCCTGGGGAGCGAGTGGCTGCCTCCTCCGATGGAAAGGGTTGGCTGAAAGCCACAGCCATCAGGGAGCCGGCACTGAATGAGGGCCATGGAGCATGAGGTCTGCTCCCATCAGCCTTGGTGATGCGGCAGCAAAGCCCTGCTCCCTCCTGCCAGGCCACCTCTTAGCAGAGCAGGCCCTGGAGGCTGGGGAGGCACATCTGTCCCCACATGCTGGGGCAGGCACCCAGCATGAGACCACCATGGGGCCTTTCAGGGAACAGTCAGGGGGCAGAAGTATCCGAACCTCCGTAGCTATTTCCAGACACCTGTCCCTGCCGTCTTCCCAAAGCTCACAGGTACTGATTCTTCCACCCTCCTCCCTCCAGCCCTGGCATCTTACCAAACCCTGAGCCGCTTCCACAGGTCACAAGACCCAGGCCCACTTCCTTCCACCCGCCACACAGAAAATGAGATTGACCACTCAGGGTTCTGCCCAAAGCGAGGTCCCTTTCTGCCAGGCAACAGACCACTCCCATCTGGAATGAGCCCTCAGTCCAATCTGAAACAGGCTGCATTTTCTCCCACCTCCATCACAGATATTAGGGAATGCCCCATCAGGCCCTGGGGGAGGCCTCAGGTGCCCTGGGTAGAGGGTGGGGAGACCTTGGTGAGATGCCAATCACCTGTGCCTCGAGGGACTGCCCACGCTCCTGAGGGCCACGTCCACCTGTGTCCTTCCAGCTCACGGAGGGCAGCTCAGGACCCACGCTCAAGTGTTTGGGCCAAAGCTGGTGGTGCTGGAAGGAGTGAGTCTTCCTGCCAAGGAGGGCCCTGCTCAGCTCCAAACCGCTGCATGCTCCTGGGTGGTCCTCCAAGCAGGCCTGCCACAGGCCCCTCAGGCCCCTCAGCATAGCTTCCTGCATCTCAATCTCCTCCTCCTGGCCTTTCGGATCCTAAGGCCACAGGGAGGGCAGCTGCACTAACAGACGGGTGGCCTCATGCTCTGACACCAGACTTGGGTCTCTAGTAAAGAGACAGGAGCCACTCCCCAAGTAGGGCATGTGTCCCCTCGAAAGTTCACAGGGATCTAGCCGAGATTGGGCCTGCTTCTAAGGGACCAAGGGGCACACATATAGGGCTCCCACTGGTGTTCACTTTGGTCCAGTGTGACGACTGCAGCGTCATGGGTTGGCAGGAAGCAGACAGAATGAAATAGCCAGTGCACTCCTAAGGCAGGACATGTGTGTGTGCACGCATGTGTGTGCAGGCGTGTGTGTGCACACGCATGAGACAGACAGGGAGGGGGAGGAATTGCCATCAGCACCTGCTGCATCCACGTGCAGGGCCATGTTCATTTACCCAGCCAGCCACACCTGAAACAGCGGCGTGTCTTCCTTCACCTGGTGTAACTCAGGAGAGGCTCCTCACCGCATCCTCAGCCCCGGAGCCCCTGCCCTGCAGCTCAGTCACTGGGTTAACGGCCAGGAGGACCTTTGGGGAAGGCCAGGAAGCGGATTCTTGGTACTGTAAGTCCTTTTCATTTTATTACAGGGTCCTTTCTCTAAGAGATTTTCACCTTTCCTTTGCAGGGCTCGGGGTGATCCAGGAATTGGGTGAGCGGCCGGGACTCTATTGTAATGGTGCAAAGTGCCTGTTCACCGGATCTGAGCTTTTCCTTTCTTTTCTTTCTGGTTTTTTTTTGTTTGTTTGTTTTTGTATTGGAGTCTCGCTCTGTTGCCCAGGCTGGAGTTCAGTGGTGCAATCAGCTCATTGCAACCTCCACCTCCCAGGTTCAAGCGATTCTCCTGCCTCAGCCTCCCGAGTAGCTGGGATTACAGGCAAGCACCCCCCAACCCCAGGCCACCCCCAGCTAATTTTTTGTATTTTTAATAGAGATAGGGTTTTACCATGTTGACCAAGCTGGTCTTGAACTGGCCTCAGGTGATCCGCCTGCC